AGTGCCTCAGGGAAAACAGAACTTTATGTAAATAGCTACAGGTGGTGATGTAACAGTATTACAACAAGCCCCTATAAATTCCTGAGTTTTCCAAGTAGGCAAGGAGCAAAGGCTGAGCCTTCACAAATTCTGTTCCTTCTCCCCAGAGTACCCTCTCCCTTCTTCCCCACTTGCACCTAATTCACCTGGAGAATTTTTAACTTTTTTTTCAGTTGCAACCAGCATGTCCCTTTCTCTGGGAAGCATTCTCAATCTCCCAAAGACTGGGTTAGTTACCTTTCTCTATATTTCATCAGCAACCTGAATCTCTACCAAGTGATTTAAATAGTCCTTGCTGCAATATGTAAATAAAGTTCTTGTTTTGCTCTTGGCCTCAAATGCTCCAAATCAGTTGAAAAATAATCCTTCCATTTTAAAGCACTATTATCTTTGCTACAGTTGGCCTTTCTTATAAACAGTATTTTATCTGAGTACTTATGTGTAACAGTACTGCCCAACAGAAATATAATACAAGCCATATATGCAGCTTTAAATTTTCTAGTCACTCCATTTTAAGATGTAAAAAGTAACAGATAAAATTAATTTTAATTTTATATTTTATTTAACCCAATATATCCAAAAGGTTATCACTGCTACTTGTAATCCATATAAAAATTACCAATGAAATATATCCAATGAGATATTATTCTCTTTTTCCACATGATATTTTATGTTTAGAGCATATCTCAATTAGGTATAGGTATATTTCAAGTGATCAATAGTCATATATAGCCATTAGATTAAATTAGATAGGTTACTTCCCATGAACTCAAGATTCAAAAGAACAAACTATTACCAGTATTACTCATGGAATCTTCACCCAATTGCTTCTTGTCAGCTAGTCTGCCTCTTTGACTAGACTTTGGATTCTTAGAGGACAGAATATGTATATTAAATAGATGTTGTTACCTCACTGTCTATCAAAGTGTGTTTTGCAGACCCTAGAGTCCCAGAGACACTTTTAGGGCTACTTTTATCATACTGTTAAGACACTATTTCCCTCTTTCATTTTACTTACATTTTCACAAATCACAATAGGTGTACAAAAGCTGCATTTTAGGGCAAATCAAGGCAGTAGTTCCAAGCCATATAAGTAAGCATTGTAATCTTTAATGCTATGCACATTGGACTTTTAAAAAATCAAGTTTTAGTTTTAAACATCCTTGATGAAGCAGAATTTATTAATTTTTTATAATTTTGACTCTTGAATTTTTAGTTTTTTTAACAGCCTGAGTGATAAATGGAGGACATACATAAAGAACTTAGGCTGCATACCAAAGTACAATGGTTGTCTAGGAAAAGCACTTGTACCATTGTTTGCATTGTGAGTTGAACTAGTCACTTTTTTCCTGTACCATCCTTTTTAACTTGAAATAACGTTAGCAAACTATGACTATTCAGACTTTGGAATTTAGTGGCCATTTTCTCAAAGTAAAAATGTCACTTCAAAGAAAACAACTCACCATACTTGTAAACAATAATAAAAATTTGACAGTCAAGTGAAAACTCAAATTTTGGAAAATTTGTATCCACCACCATAAATTTCAGTTTCCCAGCAGGAAGCACTTTCTGAAGAGATAAGTTGTGATATTGACAAATGTGATTTTTTTTCTTATTGTATAGAAAACTGGCAACATTTAGTATAACTCACAGAGTCAAGATTTTCCAAATGACCAATATATGATGTTACAAAAATCCATTCAAAGGGCATAATATACCAATGGCTTTTAATGTAACACAATAAAACGTTTCATTGATAGGGTTCCAGATTTTATGCTACAACTAACCTTTAACAAATTACTACTTATTGAGTGAGTTTTGATACAGGATTAAAAAGATTATCCACAATTACTTGAAAAAGCTACTAAAACACCTCTTCCTTTTCCAATTACAAATGTTTATTTTTCTTCGTATATTTCTACCAAAAAATGTAATGCAGCAGATTGACTCAAGAAGCAGGTATGATAATCCAGCTGCTTTCTATTAGGCCAAATATTTAAAAGTTTTGCAAAAATGTAAAACAATGACATTCCACTCACAATTTTATTTTGTTTTGGAAAATATACTTTCCATAAGACATGTATTATTCATATAACAATGTCATGGGTTCATTATTACTTTTAAACAAATTGATAAATTTGTATTCTAAGATGTCCTCATTTTAATTTCTGATGCAGTAAATATTAATAGATAATAGGTATAACATAAAAGCTCTTTCCAAGCCTCAATCATCTTTACAAGTGTAGCATATTCTTAAGATCAAAAGTTTAAGAACCATTAGCCTAGCAAACTTCCTAAGATATAGTGAGCTTTCATAATATGTTAACATCTCCTCAAAAAATAATACAAGTCACTATCACCAGTGATGGGACAATATTATGTGCCCCCTGATGGGAAGGATTGAGATATACACACCATTGCCATGGTATTCCTACAAAAATATGTGCACATACTGATTCTAATCACGAAGAAACATCAGACAAACCGAAATGGAGGTACATTCTACCAAACATTTTGCTTGCATTTTTCAAAAATATTGATGTCAAGAAAGACAAAGCAAAACCAAAAAATGTCTTCAGTTTAAAGAAGACTAAAACAGACATTAAACTGAATTCCACATATCATCCAGCAGCTTCTTTTAGTATAAAAAATTTCCTGGCAACTGGAAAAATCTAAGAACTATATTCTAGACAATAACATTGCCTTAATGTTAATTTCTTGATTTTGGTCATTGTTCAGCAGTTATGTAAGAGAATGATCTTGTTTTGGAGAAAAACACACTGAATGGGTGAAAAGGTTATCATTTTTGCGATTCACTCTCAAAGAATTCAGTAAACAATGTGAGAGAGAGCACGCAAGCAGCAAGCAATGAGAGTCAAAGTGCTAAAATGTTCATATTTTGATTTTATAAAAAAACTAGAAAAGAGCAGTTCAAAAATTCCCCTCATAAAGAAATGATAAATGCTTAAGGAGATGGGGATGCTTATTACCCTGAGTTGATCATTACATGGTACTCCATAAATATGTATAATTGTATGCCAATTAATAAAAATGAATGGAAAAAAAACGAGAAAATAATCAAAAGCTAATATTTGGAATCTGGGAAAAAGATATTCAGAAATTCTTTTTATTACTGGTGCAACTTTTCTGTTAGAAATTATCTCAAAATAAACAATTA